GTTTTGAAATTAGTTTTTGAGAATTTTCGTATGAAAAATTAACGCTCCCGAACCCCTCTGAAATAGGTATCTTTATCCACAGAGATATTAAACACAGTTGATATATAAATTTCTGGCCTAACTGGGCAAATTGCCTGATATCTACATTTTTATATGAAGTCGCATTGTAACAATTCTTTGCAAATGATTGTATCTTCTTTACGTATGTTTTACTTGGCACTGCAAAATTCAACGGCTGCACACAGATGACTTTGCAATATCTTAGTCATTTCGTGCGCTAATGATACTTACACGTGCGCTCTATAGATAATAAATTCGGTATCAGATTTGTCCCACAATAAAACATTCATTAATGTTAATGCTATGTTAATTTAAAAAGCTGGTATATTGTCTCGGGGAACAGCCATGTATTATTAACATAATGCAACAAATTATGCACTATTTAATTAAAATCACAATGTCCTAAAATCATAGTAACTATGTGCCATAGCAATAAAGGCTATTGACAATAAAATACGTGCTAAAGTACAAAGCTCATTCTTCAGAATTATTTCAAAGCTTCTTATATGTAACAAACGGAAATTTGCTTAATCTTCAACAAACATAATAACTTAAACATTTCAAACGTACAAAATGTTTAAATTGCTGTGTACTATTGAATGAAGGCTTGAATGGGAAGATTTTGAAAGATAAATACATGTTTAACAAAATAATCCACTTTATTCTTATCTTGATTTTGACACGCTTTATGTATTTCGTTTATCCTTTTTCAATTGCAATGCGTTATGAATTTGATTTTCCTCGTCAAATTTCACTGATAGTTTATTTACAACAACAAAATATAACAGTTTAACCCGTCATCGGTAGATGAGAGGGTTCGGAATACCTCGTTGTCCTTTATAATAATATTAATAATAATAAACAATTTATTTAACGAAGGTAACTTTTTAATACAATACATCAAAGCATTAGAGATAACACATATAATACAAAATCTTATTTTTAACAAGGCCTTCAATAAACATAACAATGGACATATTATAAGTAATTATAAAGATTACAACATTCAGTAAATCTTAACCAACAAAGTAGAAGACAGACATAATATGATATTATAGTATAGGTATATTGTCTATAATTCATCTCTAGATAATAATACATTTTTGAAATGTATACTGCCTTTGACAGCTTGGTGTATACCATAAACATATACTTAAAAGAACATACAAATATAAGTAAAGTGACATTATGCCAAAATCAAGTGAAAATGGCATGTGCTTAGAGGTAAAAGTCAAAATAACATTTAACATTTTGCCAAAATTGTGTTCTATATTTTACTATGCACAAATAATTATTAATGCACATGACCAATGGAAATTTCTATAAATAATGTGTGTCATGTATACTGTGCTCCTCTTAGTTTATGGTACTTAATGCTTTCAAACAAACAATGATATACGGTACAAAAAATTGTCATAAGCTGTAACATTTGGTATTTTCTGTTGTATGACACTTAAGGAAACAACAACATATTCAATCAATATCAAATTTAAAGCTGCATGCCTTCAGATGAGCAAAAATATTTCAATAAAATCACACCTAAGATTTTAGGAAAGGTATAAAGATTCAAAATGCTTGTAATAATTTACATGCTATGTGCGATTAAAGGGACTCCACTGAGGTATTTTGACATGATGGGACTGAAACTATTTTTTCCAGATAAATGTACCATTTGATGTAGGTTTAGACCACTAATCATTGTGCAAAATTTCAGATCATTTACGCACTTCGTTTTTCCAGAATAATTATTCAAAATTTAAAAAAATGACCCAAAATGAAAAGCGTTTAAACGCTTTTCACTCACATCGGGCTAAGAAAATCATTTAAATACGATTTTCAATTTATTTCATAGTATATTTCTTAACTATCTTTGCATATATTTCTGTTTAAAGTGCCCCAGCTCATTTATGTAAGAAATTCAAATGTTATGTTTTGAGGCTTTTAAACCTCAGTGGAGTCCCTTTAATGACCGATTTTTCAGTATTTATAACTATATTTCTACTGCGTTACTAACTAAAAAACGTTTTTAGTTCTTAATGTATCTACTTCAAACTTCATATATATGTTTCTTATTATCATTCAACATTTGTGAGAAGGTTCAATACTCTAGCAAGACTATTTCCAGAATTATGTCCCCCTTGAACTTAGATGTTTTCCCCTACCTGTCCTCCCAACAAATAATCCTCCATCTTGAAAATTCTATACTGTAACCGAAAAACGCGATACTGTAACACGTTCCCTACGGTGAATTATCTCCTCCTTAAATGTTGAGTTTTTCTTATTCATTCTGTAACTTTATATATATAAATATATATATAAGGAAATGCAAAATAACATTTATACTTAGTTAATACTTTTATAATAATTTAAGAAAGTGTTATAAAAGATTACTCATTTATGAAAAGACAAGAGATGCTTACAGTATAGACATATTTTAGGAACACAACTATTTGTGTACGAGCTATTTTGAAATGCAAGGGAAGTAAGCACGAGTACAACGCTTTTCCCAAACTTGTAAGAGTTGTGTTTCCTGTTCTTTGTTCATATTGACAAATTTAATTATTGTTGACTAATGCCAATATTAATTCACATCTTTATATACCAAAACAATGTGACTACGAATGCATTGTAAATTGTGTATTTTCTAATTACTGAAAGATTCTTCTTCTTCTTCTTCTTCTTCTTCCTTAATCTTTAATCTAGATGATTGTGCTATCATGTTTAACAAAAATGAAATGGTCAATTTTGTCGGGGCATACTTTAGGTGAATAAAATATCAAAAGAAACAATAATTATTTTTATTTCGTTTAAATTTATGTAACGCATTTTATTGAAGGTTAATAAACGAAATTAAAAAGGAAAATAACATAAATGTGCTCTTCGGCTGGTTTGTATATTTCTCGTTGATATTCTCACAAAATATCATACAAGTGTCACTTACATAAACTACATTTTATATACTGAAATGTACTCTAAATTCTAAAGTATTTCAATATTATTAGGGCAATGTATCGCCCGACAAGAATAATAAAATTACCTCGTTTTGTTAAGAATACAATATTATATTCTGTCAATATACAAAGGATGATCCAAAATGTTTTAAATGATATATGGTTCAATCTGTTGTATATGGTGAATCTGAATATGTCCAGCATATTCTTACAAAGTATTAGGGGGGGGGGATGACAATATTGAAGAAAACAACTACATATAAAACATAATTGTCACTATAGTCTACCCGGCGCAAGTCGCTGCTCATTTCATAACGCAGTTAACGGCGAACCATTTGTTGTTTCTATACGCCATTTATTAAATAGGTGACAGCGACTATCTGTTCATACTTTATATACCAGTTTTTGTGGCGATTGCTATAATGTAGGGAAATGACTATCATATAATGACTACCATATAAGACACTTACTGGTACATGCACGTATATCCCAAACAGATAAGAAACGCTTTTCCTTTAGCTGATTCTTGATGGTTGGACATATTTCAAAAATAAACTGGGCACGTAGCTGGTGTGACCTAACCAACGGCGAAGGGTGTGGCCCTAAAGAGAGCTGCTGCTCCCGGAAGAGGTGCCTTTCCTCTATATTGTCTACTGCGTTCAGGAAGCGAGGAACTGGGTCCTAAAGAAGATCTACGACGAAAGACGGCATGAGAAGACCTCCGTTGCGGCTCTACGATCGGCGACGTTGCAGGCAAACTAAGTCCTCCGTTGCAGGCTCTACGACCAGCGACGTAACAGAGGCCGGTAGTTTGGGACATATGGAAGACCGGGGGCCAGTATAAATAAAACTAAACACACACACGATCTTTGGGTTGCAATCAGACACCTTAACCACAATGTCACCTTTCCCTATAAATGTATATATAACCTTAATGGCATGTTTGCCAAATCGGTCACTAGTTGTTGGTTGAACAGACTGTAAGTAGTCATAGTCACAGTAACTTTGACCAACGGACATCAGAACGAACATGGGTCATCTACTTCAACCAATTGCTAAGAATGTAAACGAAATTATAAGCTAGTACTCTTTAGTGAATTTGCCATTGTTCTTGTTATCGTCAAAGGTTTAGTCGCATAAAAACTTTTCTGCATGAAAAAAATAAAATCAACAAAAAGCTACTGTTGCTGGTGATACACTACGGGTATATCCGTTCTGTCAATGAAAATCGATCAGAAACCCTTTCTGTGTGGTGACCATTCACTTACTGACCTCAATGTGTGTAGGGGTTATCAACATTCCAACCTAATCTGAGGATAACTGGGCATATCATTCTGTAGTGATTTGGTTCGGTAAGATCAACTGGCCTCAACAAAATAATGGATTATTATACCTTATTGGACTATAAACTTTCTAATTACACTGTTTGTGGTAGTTCATACGACGTATACACATGCCGAATGCATAAAATACTAAATCCCTTTAAATAAAGTGGCTAATCTAACAACTTTAATACATGTATTCACCGAAAGAAAAACAGAAAATTAGTTTTCCATTTGTTCTTTTATTCACTAGTATTCAAGAGCTAACATGATTTTACAATTCAATATGTTGCAATTTACTTAGAAAATTGATTTCATTAATATGATATAAATAGTACTGTATACTCAAACGTTGAGATTTGAGGCATGTCTGGAATAAATAACTTAAACTTCAAACAATTAAATATCTTCATCAAAACATTTAATCACTATATATCTAAGTACAAAATCTAAATCAGCAAATATATCAGTAAGTGCTAGACATGATGAATTATGAATATTTAATTTTTATGCTTCTTGCTTTCTTGCTTACTACTGAGATTCTAGCTTACTACTGAGAGAAACATTTAAACACAAGTCAATCGTTCTAAAGAACAATTCTAGATAAAACCGTGAATTTTGTCAAATATAGAACTTTATCATTAACGACCTCATTTTTATTTTTAAAAAAAAAATGTTGGTAAAGAGCGCAAAATAATTTTCCCTTTTAAAAAAAGTTAAAACCACCTGTCAACAAAACATTTTCTTTTTTCCTCTTCCTAAAGACCGCTAATGTTCATTTTCAGAATTAATATTTTGCTCTTGACAAACTATAGCAGTAGATAATGTTATTTAAGATTTACTAAGCTGTAACACCCGATTTCACAACACAGAAGTAGACATTAGATTCCTCTATTTTCCCCCTTTCCAGTTCAATAAATGTTTATAAAATGTGCGATTCAGAGACAATCATGGCACTAATAATAATAATAATAACAACAAAAAGCATAACGTTATATGTAATTGATACAATAATAATCAGACTTTGAACAAAAAATGATTCAATGATGACAGAAAATAACATTGTAAAAAATCTGTCTCAAAGTCAGAAAAAAAACTTTTCTTGGGCGCTTTAATCAAAACATGTTCAATGACACTGCATCTATTATATAAGAAAAATGTTATTTGTTTCAATGTCTACTTCCATTTAAGCAATGATGCTAAATAACAATTAACCTGCCTGTCAGCAGCCTCTCGCTGATACCATTATACCGGGTTGACTTCATTTAAATACAGAAAATGTAAAGAAAGACAACAAAAATACATGAATGATAAGATTAATTGAAGCATTATATACACGTAAAATAAACATACAGACACTAGTTATCATATCGATTTTTGTCATCCGATATATTCGCGGATCAGGTAAAGTGTGGACCTAACCGATTTTCAGAAAATAAAAACTTAATAATCACACAAATGAAGTTTAAAGCTATGTTTAAATATCATATACAATATAAACTCATTTCTGAAGGAGTTTCGTTATACTCCTAAACAGTACACGTTTCAACACTTAGAGAAATATCATTATTATACATTCAAAGATAAAATGAAAATAAAAGAAAAAAAACATATGTAAAACACGCAAAGAAGTCAATGAATAAAAGAAAACAATTCTTAAATGTTGAAGAGAACTAATATAGTCCTTGTCTCTGTAAAAGCTTTGACCAGTCCACTTTTACAGTAACATGGAAAAGTTTGGGAGTGCGGACGCCTTTCTTTCCTCCTCCTCCTCCTCCTTGATTTCCTCCTCCTGCACGTCCATTTGTAATGGACTATTTCCAAATGTTTTCATCTTCTTCGTTTGACCAGTCAGAAAATTGACCTCTTCTACCCTTTTCTGTCTAATCTCTTGCTGATCTGTGGGAGCATATTGCTTTACCATTTCCTGTTCCTTTGCTAGCTTCTGTTTGAGATTATTGAAAAAAAAGACTTGCAGTATTAGAGGTTTGGTTTCAACTCTTTATGTAGGTTCAACATTTCCGGATTTAAGCAATGAAAAGTTTAGCGTCGTATTTTCTATCCATACTTAAGTCAGCTAACATGCATTAAACTGTAAAAGCTTGAAGGGTCCATTACAAGACTAGGCCACGCCAGCCTGCATGAATAGTTTTCTGACAAAAAATACAAGCAGTCGTGTAGACACCAAGATTACCTAAAATAAAATTGCCTTACAAAGGTGCTGCATTATAACAATCAATATGTACACTTCGATATGCATACATTTACTTGTTCTCTAATAGAATATAAAAATAAAGTCACACTGACCTGCGGCATTTTCAAGGAAACTTCAGGCTTTATGGTTGCTTTACGACCAAGGGAATCAATGTCATTAGCTCTTGTTTTTCTTACTTTAGGTCTGATACAAGTAAATTCTTCTGACATTTGGTGTGTTTGTGGAGACACGTTGTTGAGCGATATTGGTGCATTCCCTTCAGTGATCTACAATAAAAACGATTCATTGTTTGATTTGTTTGATTTGCAGGAATATTACATGTTCCTTACAAAAACTCATTATTCAAACAAACACTGTAACGGTCCTGTGGCCACTTTCCAGCTTAGATGCTAGCGGTAAATCTATTATCATACTCAAAGCATTATGTTCTGCAGAATTGGGGAACACCGAGAGCTTTAGCGAGGTACCGGGTCAACTTATGATATATTGGTCAATGTTGATAAAAAGGTATAATTATATGAAACACATGTTTTCGAGTAAATGAGCTGATAACTTTCACACTTACTGATAAACACTTTTTGAAAGGATTCAGTTCCATACCAGGAGCACCCTTTGTTCTTTTCTCTACTGGGTCGTTCTCGCTCTCCATACTATCTTTAGCTATTTCTGCAAAATAGTTTAAGTTAATACGTTTCATAGTCTCATCTAACTATATTTATTAAAAGTAGATCTTTAGGATAAAGAAAGCTTTTGTACAACATGTAGTTTAAAAAGAATATTTGTCATTATCCTTTTATTTATTTAAGGAAAGCTGCGACTTTTTCTTTGTCACAAGACTATTTTTGAGCCCCGTGACATGATTCATATACTTTAGTGGGAGTCCACTATACTACATTCCAGATAGCTTTACAAAAGCAGTTTCATACATATTGATTACATTTACAAATAAAGACTAATTGGCTAATGTTTGTCATTACAACACTTTTTAAAAAAATCATTAAGAGCATGACGCGTGATATCTATTGTTGTTAGACTACAAGTACAGCTGTCATCCGCTGACATTCCTACTACTGCCAAGTTTACGTACATCTTTTAATTGTGAGTGGAGGATTGTGAATTTCCCTTCAAGCTTTATCTTACCTTCAATGTAGCCTAGAGCTTGTCGTGCACTGAACCGATCATGATGGTTGAGTAGAGTCAGCTCCCTCAGAAGAAATCTCATTTTCGAGTCACACTCGTCTGGTATCAGGTCATGCACAAACTCTGTACGACTGTCAGCCATCTGAAATAACAAATTAATTCAGCAGCAGAAAGACCGTTCTCTGATATAAAATCATTTGTATACAATTCAAGTAATATACGTAATCGAAAGATATCAGTTAATACATAGTTTTTCCAAAAGAGCTGAATTCAAAGATCATGCAATACAGTTGTATCACTTAGGTTTTGCATTACTCTGAAGCAGTATTTCATGTTAAAATTTCTAATGCTTTGTCCGTAATTGCAGACATACTGGACATAAAATATGAGACAATGCAGTTCTTTACTTAATTAGCATACACTCGTTGATAACTTGTTGCATATCAGACTGGATGTTTCTATTGTTTGCAGCCGTGCTGAACATACCATCCTACAGTCACAGAGTTATAACAGTCTCATGATTTAAGATGACGCCAATTCGTCGTCTTTATTAACGAGTTGCGTGCTTAGAATGAGATGATGTATTCTGTCTTTATGATCACAGCTGTCAATTCACGGATACGCTTCTATGACAAAAGTTATAAATAAAATTATCAATATTTGTAACCTTGTTTTGAATAGTTACCAATATGTACTGTGCTAGAAAAAGAATTAAACACTGTTTAACAAGCTTATCCAGCTCTCAGAACAGCATCGTTACCACCTTAAGCATCTACCTTTGAGCATAATATTCCGGTCTGTAGCTCATGTAAGATCTTAAAATTTCTCTCAACTTGATGACATAATATCAAATCATCTAGTTCTTTCACTAAAAGAAAAGCATCATTGCAAAAGAAATAGTATCCAATTTAAAGATCAGGTTTGATAACCTTTGATTATGCTCATTTACCAAAAAGCAATTTATCAAAAGATAAACAGTGCCATAGCTATTTAGATTTGTAAAACCTTCTCACCAGTTCTATTAGTTTCCTGCGCATCTGGCTTAACTTGTCTTTACTTATACCATTGTAGTTTAAATTCCCATTGGTAATGAACTTGACAAGGATATGGTACCCTTTAAATAAGAACATTATCACGAGTCCGAAGGCAAAAGTATCAACTTTTCCTGTTATATCCTCTCTACTCAATCCAAACTTTCGAACTAGCCTGAAAAAATATATCAAAAGAGAATATGATAAAAGTCATGAAACTTTATGAAAGAAATACCTTAAACCAAAGATTTCTGACAATAAGATAAACACGGTCAAAATGAAAAGTTTACAAACAAACTAAAATGTTAATACATTGAATATTTATCTATTCATTTTTTCGTTTATGGCCAAAAGTCAAACTTACAGGGTAAATGTCCTATTGCAACTATAATTCAAGCTTTATTCGTTTAAGAATACTTGAGCTACCTCTCTGCATTATTTCATCATGCCTAGCACACGAGAAGTGTCAGCGACATTCTGTTAGCTAGCCGGATAGCCCCCTCGCATGAAATATTTCACTGTACCTGACAGGATTCAATCCAACAACATAATCAACAATTTATTCAAAGTCATCACCTTACCATTTTTTCAGTTCTTAAATATAACCTTCATTCAAGCATCCATTCACACCGTAAACTTATTTGTGGCAAGTAATAATTTCCGGTTATACAATAATCGGAAACATTGCCTCAAGACCATTTGTTTCAAAAAGGAGAAAAATGGTATATTCAAGAACCTACTGGCGTTGGAGAAACATCTTGCAAACTTCAGGCGCCAAATATTCATAGGTCAATCCAACAAATTCTAGTGGTTCTTCTGAGAGTCTTGATGAGCCAAAGTCCGTCAGTTTTACTACAACATATCCATTTGCCCTAACCTTGATACAAATATTCTCCGCTGTTTAAAGTAATATGATAGTATATTATTAGAAGAATGTACATTATCTGATATTTGTTTGTGAAATTTTGTTTGGGTTTTACGTCACACCGACATAGTATAAGTCATATGGCGACGTTCTTACAGATTTACTGGTGGAGGAAGGCCTTAGGTTCCCTTCCGTGCATTATTTAAGGCACTGACTGACACCTGAGTAGAACCACTGACGTTCAATTATCTGATATAACATATCTATATAAAGCAGATAACATATCTATATAAAGCAGATATCAAATTGTTCTAGAATTTTTCATCATCACAAAAATGATAAAATGTATAGTAAATGTATAATAAACTCTATCAACATTATTTTTAAGACATATTTTATAGGAGTATCCAAATGATATACATTGTGTTTTTATCAATAATTGAAATACGTAAAATGTGCCAAGTGTAGGCAAATTCACTTTCATATGAATATCCGACATTGAAGTAAATATTAATTGCACGAAGTAATAAGGGTCAAGAACTACAGGACTTGGTATGATGAAGTGTTGATGATGATTCACTATTATTCTCTTTACATTATAATGTTCAAGTTAATGCATTTAATGGTTTCAGAGATATTAAAATAAATATAACATTTCGTCAAAAAGGGGTATAACTTTGTCAAAATTCACTGAAGAGTCATGAAACTTGGCCTACAGAGTACTGTTGTAACCATATAAACCCTCATTACACAATGCATGTAGAAGTTATAAATATACATGTCACAAAATGGACTTACGTTTGATGTCCAGGTGCACTATGTTGTTACTGCTCATGTGATCTAAGCCCGCACATCCTTGCTTTGAAACTTCCCATTTTTGTGCATCAGTGAGAAGTCCAAACTGATCATAATACTTGTTTATAGCAAGCCCTAAAATATATTAAATATTTTGTTGTTTCATACAAATTTAGTGCAGAAAGTAGGCCAAAAGGTTTGTTAAAATTGAAAATTGTATGAATAAAGTAGATCAGTCAGACATGATTATTCTCATAATTTTTGATGAATTTAAAAGCGTTAGAAATAGAGTCAATCTAATGCGAGACTTTATTTATATACTAAAGTGTTTGTCATGATACAGTTGGCCTACTTACATTTTCCAACACATGATTTAAGCAGAATTAGGTATTCTAACATAGAACTGTTTTCATAAATAATAGCAATAAGACGCCAGAACCAATCAACAAAAGACTAAGAAAAAACACTGGGTTTCATGAATAAATAAAAACATTAAAAGTTAACGGAAAATTGAAGCTTCGATTTGGATAAAGATGGTAAGTAAACAATCACATACTTGCAAAGTATAAAAGAAAGCATTTACATTTACACAACCTCATTCACTTTCTTTATTTTGTTTATTCTGCCCATATTCACATTACATATCATACGGTAACTTTCCGGTATAATATTTATTGCCATTGTCCAATTATTCATAATTCCGGTAAAAAAAACATATGCATTTACCAGTAGAAAGGTACACTTAAAAGAGATTTAACATTTGTAACAGGATTTAAACAGCCTTTTGACAACTTACCGCAATACTCAAGCAGCAACTCCATGGTTGGATTTCCCTTGTCTTTATCGTAGTATCGCTGTATAAGACCGTAGCACTTGGTCAGGTTAAGATGATTCAGTTTAGATGGTACAATTATTTCACTTGATCTTAACTTATTCTTTGGAACCTGTAAGTATAACAAGTTGGTGATGATGGCATTGCTCTGCTCAACAGAAAGAAAAAATATCTTTACAAAGCATGTCATATTATTTAAATATTGAAATATTTTTTAAAATGATACCTCTTTCTGTCGTATACACAAAGTTTGGTGATAACACATCATAATGATGAACAGTTTATTTGTTTTTAAGCTTTATTGTAAATGTAAAGTTTGCACAAGATTGTTGAACTGTACAAATCCAAAATAATACCGGACATTGTATGGCTTACTGGAAAATATTTTACAGAAGAAGATTGGTGAGTTGAAATAAGCAAAGCATAAATCAAAGACACATTATGCCCTAGAGTATTCGTTTACTTCTATTTTTCAATAGCCTTTTATTTCTGGTGCCCCATTTAAGTTTCAAAAAACATTAACTTACTTGCCAATTCCCTGAATTTTCATCAACAGCAAAATGTTAGCAAAGAAGTTATTTGACTTCCATATAACGTACTCACTTTAATTACATTTTGCTAATTTTATAACAAAATAATTTTACATTTAGCACTACATGTTAGGTAGTAAGCATCTAACATACACTAAACCCCTTTATAACCTTCACCAGGAATAAAGTAAGGAGTTTTTATCAGCTTTAATACCTGTTTTATGACGAACTGTTCTTGTGTTTTCTTATCCTGACAAAGACTAACTGCACCGTACGAACCTCGACCGAGACATTTTTTCCTCACAAAATGTACATTCTCTTCATAGCAATCTGACTCTGGGGCACATGTCTGGAAATATATATATATATATAAAAGTTCCTTCCTGATCTCATTAAAATGATCAGTCATTTCAAGTTATTTCATTACAGCCATAAAAACACTGCGTCATGTAGTAACTTTTTTATATTGTTTTTGGTCCCATAACTCACTTGTTCTTGTAGTACATATTCATCAGTGTTTGATTTCATATCATACCAGATTGATGAGCGAATTCCCTTTTTTGATAAAGAAGGCCTAACATGATACTCTGTGTGCAGTAAATCCTATGACATGAAACCAATTTTCAGACTAACTACACACCATTTCAATAAACACTCTAGACTATAATTAAATTTATTTTCATGAGAAAAGTTACGCATTACAATGACCAACCATTTTGTTCGCAATATGTATGTCTCCGTTTTGGTCTCTAGACTGATTTCAGACGTAAGGCATCCTATGAAACGCAACCCTGGATTTTACAAAAACCCCTAAACAGCCTAGCTGGGTAGCTATCTCACGTTAAATGAGCAAGGAATATATGATTTTATTCAACAGTAGCAAAACCTATTCAAACTTTATTTGAAATATTTCTTGTACATTTGTTTTTAGAATCAAGTCACATCTTGTCCCAATTGTGTACCTATTAAACAACCACTTACTGAGCAAATAATCTCTATCAGTAATAAAATTTTGCTTGCGGAAAAAATGTTATATTCATATAGAATTTATACATGTAACTTTCACAATGTAACAAATTAAAAAATATCTTATGGTCCTTACCTCATCAACAATACACCCTGTTACTTCATCCAAAAGATTCCATAAATCATTAACCATATCTTCAAGTGCACGAACTCCTGTATATTTCACAGTCCTGAACAAAATAAAATAGTCAATAATTTACAATATGTATACAAAAATTACATGCGATAGGTAAAATATAATAATAATAATAATAATAATAATAGAATCTTAAACACCTTGTTGAATAAGAAATACATCAATTTTTTGTAGAATTGTGGATGATAAAACAAAACACAAAGTATAACGTATGTAAAACCATTTCAAGTAATGTAAATAGTATTACCCTGGTGTGTATCGTTTGGCTGGAACGTCAAACGTTTCTTTACTGGTGTTCTTTTTCAAATCCACACCAAATTCATTTGCATTTGCCTCGTCAGTCAGTGGTACTGACGGACCTTCTATAAATGTTTTCGTTGACTGATCAGTTGTGGCTGCTGGTACTTTAGTTTTTGATTTTTCCTCATGTAATTTTGGATTCGGAAGCTGATTAAAGTTGTCCAACGTAGGATCAGTTGCAAATCCTTTTGGGACAGTTTTCTTCCCTTGTGGATACTGTTTTTGTGAAGTAAGAGATACTTCATTTGTACTTGAATGGGCGGTTTGAGGCTGAACATCACTTGGCTGGATAACATGGCCAGAAATATTCACTTTTTTCTCTTTCAAGTCAACAAACTCATTTGGATTTGACATTTTGTAAAACTGGGGTATTTTAAAACTGAAAATTAAAAAAAAAAACATTTTTAATTTTTATATTTTTTAAAAAACCCGTTTTTTCAAAATGTATTTTATGTGAAATAACTTTTAAATTTTAAAGGGATTAATGCGTAGGGGAAATGTTAAACGAAACAAAATTTTTCATTTCCCCGGGAAAGTCTCCTTTGAAATTTTCAAAAAAATCCAAAAAGTCAATGTAAGATGCTGATGTCAGTTTTTGATAAAACCCCGCCCCCTGTGTATAAACCTGCATGCCTTTTCCCCCTCTGGGGACTTGTTTTTAAATTCTTATAAAAACCCCTTGTACAGTAAAAATTAAAAGCTAGAAACTATTTCCTTTGGGGTCCGGGTTATCAAACAATCCCTTTTAAGGGTCTGGTTTTTAAAACAAATTTTTTTCCAGCAAAGCCTTGTGTTTGAAATAGTTTATACCTTTTACCAGGGACGGTTCGATGTTGGCGCATCTGGTCTTCGCCGACTTCTCTGGGCCAAGTATTTGCAATTGCTAATTAGGTAAGAAGGTTTAATGACCTTTTCAACTTTGTGTTTTAACATGGGGATCAACCGTTCTCCGATTATTACTATATACGCTCTTGATGAGGTACGCGCTCATTATCGTTATTTACCAAAAGATAAAACTTGCCCAATAATGTTGGAACATTTATTCATGTCTTGGTTTCCAAAAATGGGGATTTTTAATCAATTACTGATCTAATTAATCCAAATGTTTCACTTCCTCATGGGCGCAAACATCAACGTGTTTTTAAAGGCCGTGTACAATATTTTTGAGACCCGGTGAGTTATTTGACGAAGAGAAACTCATTTTATTTTTCGTAATTTTGAAACCTTAGCAAAAAGGGTAGGACAGGGCGCTTTGGCTCCAGTTGATTAGCCCAAAAAATGAACCAACCTGAAAGGTTTCAGTTTTAATGCATATGAAAAAAACTATATAAATAGATTGTTTGTGCCAAACTCGTCGAATAACGAAGCTTCCTCTTGGGGGGCTTAAAGTATAGAAATCATTTAATTAACATCGCGCGTTAAGATATTTCTTTAGTGTCCATCCCTTTTGCTCAAATATTGGCGAATCTAGGTGATTCAGGTAGAACATCAGGCATATTGCACTTTTGGAACCGTTTACAACAAAGGGACAACACTAGAATAACAAAGAAAGTGTTTAACTTTAAATAATTGGTGCAGTGATGTTAAAAAGATTCTGAATAATTCGAACTTTATTACAAAAGTACTGTCAATTTATCATGCGTTGGCGAAACTCTGAAAACTGACCTTATATTATGAAAATGGCAAAAATGCCATTCAACACGTAAATAAGTTACGTTACATACGCAAAAATTGAAAAAACTTTTTTCTAACAAAAAGAGGAATGCCTTACACTTAACCCGAAGGAAAATGGGTAAGCTCATTGCTAGCCATTTCATTCGAATTTCTTCCGTTACGAATGAGACCGGACCTCCATTCAGACCCTCGCCTGCTCTGTTCCAGCCAATTTAAAGTGAAACAAAGAAAAACATTTTTAAATTGCCCTTGATAAATACTTTACACTTGGGAAAAAGTGGTATTCCCAATAATATGCCAAAACCAAATCATTATTTTAATCTCAATTGGGAACTTATTAACAGTATGGGTTGGGTTAATTGCAACAAATACAATACCAAAAATATCCACCATTTTACGAAGAAGTTGCAAATTATATTTCCTTGAAAGGAGGAAAGGAGATATTTTAACATCTGTTTTTCAACAATTCGGCAAAAATTGTGGTTATACTTTAATTTACAATTTGGTAATTTTAAAGAGGTTAGACAACCCGTTACTTTTAATATACACTCAGGTAGTTTGGTTATCGTACTATAATACTGTTTACCTTTCAGATTTATAAAATTTTCATGTAGGACTCCTCTTATATTTTTTAAAGCAAAATTCAAGATAATGATTTTTATCATGTTTCACAATTGTTTATTCCGTAATTAATTTACCATTTACCTAAAATTTTATTCCATTTTAGAAAAAAATTCCATTTTCGTGAAGTCCCCCCTCGAAAAATGTCACTCGGTCCTACAACAAATTTAACTATGACAATGCGTTTAGGTCAAATTGCATGCGGGACAAGCCTTCATTAAAAGGAATTATAACTTATTTTTCTCTTTAATTTTGAACATACAATAGATGCCCTAGAAAAAAAGAAATCCGGGTTTTAAATAATTTTTTTTAGTGAGGGTTTTCCCCGAATTTAAAAAAAATGTCATTTCGAAATTTATTGATTAAATTAAAATTTAATTGATTTGGGTTTCTTTGAAACCGGGGGGTCAATGAAAAACCTTCGAAAATGCAAAACACTTACTTTTTTTAGGGTCCTTTAAACCCCCCCGCAACTCCAGAGCACCATAAATACAAATTAAAAAGAATCCGGAAAAACCCCCCCCTAGGGTCTTATTGAATAGACCCC